TATATATATATATAATTATGTGTAAATTATAATAATAGAAATTTAAAATCTTCTAACGATTTCAACATTATATAATTTTCTTTGAAAAGAACACCCCACTAAAAATCTTTACATACAAGTATGCTTAATAAATAATGTTCAATAGAGTAATTAAGAGAAATAGTGAACGTCCACTCCACTTTTAGTATTTTTTTAATTAAGGTATTCCATAACTGGAGACTAATTAATGGTTAATCTTTCGACATACTAAGATTTATTTAAAAATTGATCGATTATTTTAATAAATATTTTCAATTCTCGTAAATATACATACAAGGATCAAATTCTTGACTATATTTTTAAGTGATAAGATTATTTGACAATTATGTATTTTTTAAGTGGTAATTTAGGTCGAAGGAAAATAAAGATAGAGAGGAAAAAATATATAAAAAAATCAAAAGAAAAAATATATTCTTAATTTTCATAGTTTGTTTTAACCGTAACTAAAATTGTTGTATTTTTATATAGATAAATTTAATTAATCCTAAATATTTGCAAACAAAAAATATTTTTAAACTATTTGAAATTTAAAAATTAAAAATGTTTTATTTGTTTAGTTTGATAAGGAAATAATAAATAGAATAAAAATTTTGAAAAGAAAAATGAATTTAATTAAAAAGGCAGAGTACGCAGAGAGGAATTCCCACCATCACATATCTGATTAACGAAATAGCAGTAATGATCTGATGAACATTGGACTTGTTGTGTGGTTTGGTTGAAATAGCATCCGACATCCTTTCCGTCGCAGTGCTCCCTACAATTATCTTGATTCAACCAAGTCAACCAAAAGCCATCCTTGAGCCACTTGCGGATATCAGCATAGGAAGCGTTCCTGTCATCATCCACATATTCTACATAGGTTTCGTTCCACTTTTTGATCAAGTTTGCAAAAGTGGCAACCTTAAGACTACACCCAACCTTCATGTCCATCAGACTAAGGTCAGAGTACTGGGCATAAATATGGCCACCGGCTCCGGAATGACAAGGATCCGTGTCCATTTGCACATAACGTGGGTCATTAGTCACTGGATTACTACAGTTTAACAACCCTATGTTTTGATACCCATCATAAGTCTCCCAATCAGTAAGAGTTAGCGCATCTGTTGAGGGATAGTAAGTAAAATTTCCTCTGTATAAGAAATAGCGAGGAAAGGAGCAGGCAGTATCCTCGAGAACACCTGCATCAGTGACTCGAATCTCGTATCTTCTGTAATCGATCTCCAGCACATGGTATTCCCCTGCAAACAGACTCAACATAGTCACGTTGTTCACGCATTCCAATTCGTAACTTTGAAGGCCGCAACCACCAGGATCGCCCTTCAATCGAAATGGATAACTTATGTTGCTGATTTTGCCGCATGAAGAAGGAGGACACGATGTGTGATCCATAGCAGAGCAAGTTTGTTGGAATAGAGAAAAAATGATAACGGCCAGAATAGTAACCATAGTTGATTGCGCATAGCGGGAGAAGAAAGGTATGAGAAACATTCTTTACTCTCTTCTTCGCCTCAGTGAAGGAAGAAATTATAGCTAAATAATTCTTCAGGCTGGACCACTTTAAATTTATGAGTCAAAGTCAATGAATGTCGTGTTCGTGTATGAAACAACACCACATAATATATATATATTTTTCAATGTTTATTTATGTAAAATATTATCCGGCCAAATCATAAGGTCAGTCAAACCTTCACTTTGGACTCAATAATGCCGTGTTATAATGGATATTTCAATGAAAACTTTTTTTCTGAATAGTGAAGCCTAGCCTCTCTATACCTTAAACCTGCAGTTGCAAAGCATTTGTAGTCTGCTTGCAAGATACAGTTTGCTATGTTAAATTTTCAGAAAATTTGTCTTCTATTGTCACTGTTGTTTGTTCCTGTTATGTGCAAGCATGATTGCACGGACAAGTGTGGACGCGTTCCCATTCAATTTCCATTTTACATCAGAAATAAGAATTTGAGTCACACCGTCAGCTATCCCCCTGGGTTCGAGCTGTTTTGTAACGATAAACATGAGACTCTGCTGCAGTTGCCTGCTGTTTCTTCTAAACTATTTGTCAAAAGAATTGATTACAAGAAACAGCAAATCCATATCTACGACCCTCAAAACTGTCTTCCCAATGTGTTATTAGAACTTGGCAATTCCTCTATTTATCCATTCCAATTCCCATCATTTTTGGATCAGCAGAGGCCTGATTATTTGAATGTTTCCTTCTTCGTTTGTAATTCAATGTCGTGCCCCATCATGTACCGATCGGACCATTACTTGATTAATCCTGAAATGATGTCATGCACCAAGTTGGCAGATGCTTTGTCCGTCGAATGGTATTATTCGTATTGGGAATGGAAACATCACCAGAAAAACATTATAATGAAATGGTCGAAATCCGAACACAACTGTGGTGACTGTGAAGCACAAGGTCAGAAATGTAAATGGAAGAATGGTACCAAAGCTGAAACCGAATGTTTCATTTGCCCAACCAAGACCCTTTCAACATCAACTATCATGTATATTGCTGCAGGTATGCATTTTGCAATCTATTTGTCTATCTCTTCCCTTTCTCAGCTTATGGTTATTTATAATTTATAATTTCTCTCCAACAGGGGGAATATTTGGTTTTATTCTTTTGCCGCTACTGGTAATGGCTGTCTTTCACGTGTACGGACACTATAAGATGCAAGGAGAAGACCAGGCTCGGATAGAGAAATTTTTGGAGGATTACAGGGCAATGAAACCCACGAGATTCACTTACGCTGACATTAAGAGAATCACAAATGGGTTTTGTGAAAGTTTAGGAGAAGGGGCTCATGGAGCAGTGTTTAAAGGCATGCTCTCCCGAGAAATTGTGGTTGCAGTGAAGATATTGAATGACACAATGGGAGATGGGAAGGACTTCATAAACGAAGTGGGAACCATTGGAAAGATTCATCACGTTAATGTTGTTCGCTTGCTCGGATTCTGCGCGGATGGGTTCCACCGTGCTCTTGTCTACGATTTCTTCCCAAAGGGTTCTCTTGAGAAATTCTTAGCCCCACCGGACAACAAGGATGTTTTCCTCGGTTGGGACATGTTGCAACAAATTGCTCTTGGTGTTGCCAAGGGACTTGAGTATCTTCATCTTGGTTGTGACCACAGAATACTCCACTTCGACATCAACCCTCACAATGTCTTACTAGACGACAACTTGGTCCCAAAAATTACAGACTTTGGACTCGCCAAGTTGTGTCCCAAAAATCAAAGCACGGTGTCTATGACTGCAGCTAGGGGAACCTTAGGCTACATTGCTCCTGAAGTTTTCTCAAGGAACTTCGGTAATGTGTCTTACAAGTCTGACATTTACAGCTTCGGAATGTTGTTGTTGGAGATGGTTGGAGGAAGAAAGAATACCAATAAATCAACAGATGAAAGCTTCCAAGTTTTGTACCCTGAATGGATCCATAATTTGCTTGAAGGCAGAGACGTTCAAGTTAGTATTGAGGATGAGGGAGATGTTAAAATTGCAAAGAAACTGGCCATTGTAGGACTTTGGTGCATTCAGTGGAATCCGGTGGATCGTCCATCCATGAAAACTGTGGTACAGATGATTATAGAAGATGAATATGATAAGTTAATTGTACCCCCTGCTCCTTTTAACATCGCCGGTTCTTCTACAACAAATTCCTTTGTTCCAGCAAGACGTCAAAATTTTGAGTTGGAAGTTATTCATGAAATAGAAGAAGAGTAGATAATGTCGGTCAATTTTCGCTTGGATATATGTGTTGTTGGTGGTGTTCATAAATTATAATTGAGATTTTATTTAGGTAATTGAGATTTTATTTAGGTAATACAGGATGATGTTGCATCATAAAAGATTGTAGTAAACAACATATTTTTCCTCTTCATTTGGGCCTTGTAAAACCCATCCTATATCATACCATTTTGCATATTTTTAGTTATTTTGTAACTAGTCCTAAGAGTTGTTGATAATACTTTTAAGTTATTGATAAGTTTGTACTATCCTTGAAAGAACAAATCTAATGATTACTTTTATTTATTTTGATTTCTATTTTTTTTTTCTTTGTACTAGTTAATCAAATTCATAAAGTCTATAATGTGCATTTGTCACTTGATTTTGTTATATATATATATTACACAATGTTGATTTTGTTATACTCATATAATTAGTTACTAATATAAATTTAATTGTGGTATTAAAATATAATTTTAAAACTTATGTTAATAATCTCTCTCTCTCTCTTTCTATATATATATGTAATTGATGGAAACCTCAAAGAGAGACTTGATTGATGTAACTTCTCATTTAAGCTTCTTCCTATATCTTTGGCTTTTTTTTTACACTTATTAAGCTTCAAAAGAGTTCTCCGATGGAGAAAGACTCATAATTTACCTTCAAAGGTAAAACAACCTTTTCAAGTGATGTCACTTTAAGGAAGAAGATAAACCACTTCAAATTTTACCACACTTTTAGGAAGAGGATAAGATAATTGAAAGCAAATTTAAGAGAGAATTAAACTTTTGAGAGAGAGAATGCTAGAGAGAAAACTCATCCAATCTCAATAAAAGCTCAAAAGTTTGTACAAAATGGGTCAAAACTACAATATATAGAGTTTAGTTGACTTATGGTGCAAGCTAGACTAACCATGGTTAAGTGTAACCATGGTTATCTATCTTATACTTAAGCTAACTAACTCTAGTTAAATGTATACAAGTCTAGTTAGTTGCCTAGAAGTTTATGGTACAAGTTAAGCTAATCCTAACTTAAGAATAACCTAGGTTAGCTTAAGTTAACTCCAACTTC